AAACTTTTCATGGAAATCTCTTGGTTTCAATAAAACCTCTTTTGGGAAGGTTATTCAGATCCAGAATGGAATACTTGGCCAAAACCCCACTCCAGAATAGGTCATAGCTCCGTTGTTGTCATTGACCTGGAATATGAGAAACTAAGGTTTAAATCCTTTTTCTGTCTGATTCAGACCTGTTATTCTTATTCAGAACTGGGTCTTCTACATATCAGGTGAGTGTCATGACTGTTGGCTGTTCTTGAATGGGTATGCTCTTTTAGTCTGTAACCATATATCAAACCCTCAAAATCTTTCACAAAATTGAATGATTGTTTCCAACATGCCCTTTGGTCAGGGTTCAGCAAAGCTCATTTTAAATATAGACGTGAATCCAAGTAAACTGTTGTGCAGTTTTAATAGACTACCATACTGACTAATCTGTTTGGGTTCTGGTAGTTCAAATATACAAAGGTCTCTACTAATATGCCCCATTTGTCTGCTTCATCTAAATTACTCGTTTGCTGTATTTCCTCGTAGCATAGAGGCACAGATGCTGAAATTTGATTCCCAATAATGTGCTTCTTGCAGTGGAATAATTTCATCCAATAAAACTTTTCTTAGCTGGGACCAACTGTTTCCTTCTGTTTTCCTTGGCATTCTTCCTGTTCCAGAAGAAGGAGTTCTCATATTATTCAAATTAGATATCTCTCTCTCCTAGATGTAAGCAGGATCTGGATCCTTTCTGATTAACGTATTACATTGCAATCACATTTCTTCAGCTGGGTTTCTTTGTCTTAGACCCTTTGGGAATGCAGTAGCCAGATATGCTATTCTTGGGATCAGGTTTTAGGACCAGATGGAGTATGTCAAACCTTAGTTCATTTAAATACCAGAATGTAGAATGCTATTTCCTGTTGTTATCCTGAAAGATCTTCCCATCATTGGAAATCCTTCCCCTCTTTTCTCAATAAGATAGATTCTTAGGAAAATCTCTGTAATTCTTGGTGAAACTCCTAACTAACCTTCTTCAGCTTCTGTCTTTGCGGGCTCTGCTGTGAGTTCCAGTGCTCTAATTCCCAACCTTCCAGGCTATCATAAAAAGGTATTTATTTTGGTTTGTAGAATTTCAGAAGCAGATGTTGTTGTCACTTTGCCTTGTTTAGCCAGAAGAATCTTCTCTTGTCCTGGAGGGTTGAATTAAAAGCTTGGTTTTTTTTTCTTTTTTGAAAAGGTTGGGCATAGTATGGGCAGATGGAAGTTATGCCCTAAAGATATCTAGCATTCTTGCCCTATTTTGTTCAGTAGACAAAGGACCAGATACTCAACAGTTGTAAATTGATGTAGCTCCAATTCAATGCACATCTAAAGGCTAGAGCCTCAGTTGGTGTAGATCAGAGTAGTTGCATGGAAATTGAGCGTGCATTGACCTGAATGTACTTTTTCCCATCACATTTACTGAACAGAGAATAAGTGATTAGAAGGAAGGAAAACATTAATTGGAGAGAGGAAATCTGCTGAAAATATTCCTTTCAATTAATGCTGTCAGCCAAACACGTTTGTTGCAATGCTAATTTAATGTTGATTTCCACACACCTTAGTAACATTCTGATTCTTCCCATCCTTGAACCAACGCTGCCAGTAAAGGCAACTTTGTGTTGTAAGAACAGGTTTTATCCTTATGTTATTTTCCCCTGATTTCTGAAAAAAGAGGAAAGTTAAAGTTAGATTTAGCAGTAGTAACTTGTTCCAGCAAAGCACTTGCTAATTGACCTGTTCAGTATGTTGCTTCAGATGTTCTGTGGTGGTGGCATATTTTTGTTCATTTGCTTTTTCTGGCAAGAGCTTAAACAATATTGTTCCTGTGATGACAAATTGCTGAGTTGTTTCCAACTTTACCAAGCTTTCAACTCTCGTCTAATTTGCAGACCACTGGATTTGCTTTATTCTTGGTGTCATTCATTAACTTGTTCCATCTCCTCAGGACTAACTGTGGGTCAGGATAATTTTTTGTTTCAGAACCACTGCTTTTTTGTCAACTATTCTGAGTACACATTTATGTCATGGTCAGGGATTCCCCTGACTGATGGGGTTAAGGTACATCTGTTTCCATAGCCAATGGCATATAAGAGAGCGATGTGGTAGCATTATGTCGAGTTGCCTTTGACTCACCAGCTTACATGACCCAATATCTGTTATAGATATCTGTCCTAAATGGAGGACATCCTTTAGCACAAGTCCAGAGCCAGGCTTAAACTTGCATCTCTAGGACTACAGCAAAATGCCCTAACCTCTGCTTTCACACTCCTTTTATACTTAACTACAGAGTGTAAAACCAGAGGTGCTATGTCGAATGTTGAGTATTATACATTTGTAAATGAAAATAAGGCAATGTATCTTACACATCAAGTGAGCAGAAACTAGAGAGAGAGCAGGACAGTCAACTCGCAGAAACTTGAAGGTACCTTCCTGTGCACTGACTTACTGTCATGTGTCTTGCAACACATGGTATAGTCCCTTTAAATTTGGGCCATTACCTTTTCTTGTTGCTTCCAGGAACTGTTCTACATAGCTGTATGACAGAGGAGTCCAATTTCCTGGGTAATCTTCTTGACTCCCCAAGTAATGAACAACTCTGACTAATTTCCCTTAGTAAGATGAGAATAATTTTTTCTCAGACTTCTGAGAGATGCATCTAATAGTAAATCAGGGAAAAATTGATAGTTTTTTTTATATAAAAGCTATTTATATATGTGAGGCCATAAACATTTTTATATGTGTTAATTATAATTGTAAGTCTGCCAAATATTTATTAGCACTTAATGGTGCATCCTTTATCTACATCTTGCATTTGTTTTTATCACTCTGATAATATTCAAGTTCAGCTTTTCAGTGTTGTTAGTTTCCACTGAGGTGTTCAATTATATACTCTTTCCCTTGTCTCTGGCTCCAGTAATGTTGTATCAAGTTTCAGCAATAAGGTACTGCTATTACGAGTGAACATCACACAGGATGTGTATCAGTCTAAGACATCTAACAGTATCAGCATCTCTGAATCTTCTGTTTGCTTTTTGCCTGGCTGGTTTGGGCCTCTAGGCCACCCAGGCTATTTAATTTTCTTTGTTGAATTAATATTTTGTCAAGACTGTTCACACAACGTAGCTAGCTCCTGATTGCTTAATCCTGACTCCACCCTCCCTGGTTTGGCTACTCCCATTTATAGTTTCCTGAGCAGGTGAAATGATAGGTTGAAATGATCCCAGAAAAGGGCAAACATAGTGCCCACATTTAAAAAAGGGAAAAAGGAAGATCCAGGGAACTACAGACCAGTCAGCTCCACCTCATTCCCTGGAAAAATCATGGAGCAAATCTTCAAGGATTTCTAAGCACTTGGAGGAGAAAAAGGTGATTAGGAACAGTTAGCATGGATTCACCAGGGGCAAGTCATATCTGACTAACCTGGTTGCCTTCTATGAAGAGGTGACTGGCTCTGTGGATGCGGGGAGATGGGTGGATGTGGTGTACATTGATTTCTCCCACAACATTCTCTCAGGCAAGCTAAGGAAGTGTGGGCTTGATGAATGGACTGTAAAGTAGATAGAAAACTGGCTGGAGTATCAGGCTCAGAGAGGAGCAATGAATTGCTTGATGTCTAGCTGGCAGCTGGTATCAAGTGGAGTACCCCAGGGGTCAGTTCTGGGGCCAGTTTTGTTCAATGTTTTCATCAACAGTTTGGAAGATGGCATAGAGTGCACCCTCAGCAAGTTTGCAGATGACACCAAGCTGGGGGGGGAGCAGTAGATACGCTGGAAGGTAGGGCCAAGATTCAGAGTGACTTAGACAATTGGGGGATGGGGCTAAAAGGAATCTCATGAGGTGCAACAAGATAAGTGCAAAGTCCTGCACTTAGGGCGGAACAGTCCCATTCACCAATACAGGCTGTGGGTTCACTTGCTGGGCAACAGCTCTGCTGAAAAGGACATGGGGGTTACAGTGGACAATAAGCTGAATATGAGCCAGCAGTGTGCCTTTGTTACCAAGTAGGCTAATGGCATACTGGGCTGCATCGGTAGGTGTGTTGTCAGTAAGTCAAGGGATGTGATTATTCCCTTTTATTCAGCACTAGTGAGTTCACATCTGGAATACTGTGTTCAGTTTTGGGGCCCTCAGTACAGAAAGGATGTGGACAAATTGGAGAGAGTCCAGTGGAGGGCAGCAAAAATGGTGAGGGGGCTGGGTGACATGACTTACAAGGAAAGACTGAGGCAACTGGGCTTATTTAGTTTACAGAAGAGGAGACTGAGAGGGGTCTTAATAGCAGCCTTCAACTATTTGAAGTGGGGTTTGAAAGAGGATGGAGCTAGACTGTTCTCAGTAGTGGCAGATGACAGAACAAGGAGCAACAGTCAAGTTGCAGCAAGAGAAGTTTAGGTTAGATATTAGGAAGAATTTTCTTACTAGGAGGGTGGTGAAACACTGGAACAGGTTACCCAGAGAGGTAGTGGAATCTCCGTCCTTGGAGGTTTTCAAGACCTGGCTAGACAAATCTTTGGATATGATCGTCTAGTTGGGGATGGTCCTGCGTTGAGCAGGGGTTGGACTAGATGACCTTGCTGAGGTTACTTCCAACCCTAACTTTCTATGATTCTATGAGCAGGTCATCCCCTGACTATTCAGACCTCCCTGAAGACATTAGCTCTTCAACAGCTGCTTCAAGTAGCTGATCGGAAAAGTGGCACTATTTGAAATAGAAGCTGTGGCAAGCAGCTTGCTGGTCCTGCACACCTTTTATGTTGTAGCTATATGTGCTCTTACTTACTTTTCAGGCCTTCGTCACTGGAGTGGGATGAGGAAAAGAATCCTGAGAAGAAACAGGGTACTACTGTCTCTGCTCTTGTAGCATGAACTGAGCTAATGTAGCAATTGGCAATTTGTGTAACACTTTGAAATCTAGCTAATTTATTTGGCTCACTCATTTTTGCTGCACAGAGGTAATCTATGTTTGTATTTATATTTCATAGCTCAACATTATTTACAACGTGAAGCATTCAGTCACTCAAAGAAGGCGCAGATCTGCCCAAAGTCCAGAAGCCTTTGACTTAGATGTTGTTGTAAATGATGACAAAAATGATATAAATCATTTGACCCTAAATGTGTGTACAAGGTAAGTAACTCATCTGCTACTTCTCTGGATCCATACAGTGTCATATATTACATTGTAATATTTAGGAGGTGCCAAGTGTTACATAGCTGTATGAATGTATTGCTACCCATAATATGGACCCATAATAAATTTACGTAAAATAAATGAATGATGTCATACAAAGGATCAGTTATTAAACTCAGTAGCAAATGGTTAAATCACCTTCATCTTAACAGAACTGAAGAGATCAGTTATCAAGAAATAAATATCATTTGTCATGTCATATTTTTAGATGCAATGCCTTAATCATCATGGTTTTGTAAAGGTTGGAGATCTATAGAAACAGTCATATGAAATATGACTGAAGTATGACTTGTAACAGCTGTTGCTCTACTAGCTACAGTCAGTAAGTTATGTCTTAGAGCAGTTTTTTGATCAAAGCGAAGTGACTTGGTACTGAGAATACCTGTATTGAGTTCCTGGTTATGCAGCTGGCCTGTTAGGTGACTTTAAAATGGGAATAAAAACCTTTGGGATCAAATGATGAAATTGCTGTATATGATGTAGGTGGTATTACTACTACTACTATTACTACTGCTAAGTAAAGCCAATGGCATTTTTGGCAAAATTAAAATTTATTGTAGCATGCTTTTTCATCAGAAATTAAAATATTTTGCAGAGCCGTATTGATTTCAACAAAAAGTCTCATTGCAAACACTCTTGCATGGTATAACTGGGTGATTAGATAACTGACATTAGATATGACTAGCTTTGGTTCAATTTATTCCCAGCCTCTGAATGAGGTTGAGAAGGGACTTGAATGTGCATTTTCCATATCACAAGCTAGTATCTAAGGCTATAGAGTGACCATGATCCTCAATCATTTCTACCTTTCCTGAACAAAAATTCTCAGATTTTGATCCAAAAATGGGTATTTCAGTGCAATATCTTATGAAAGATTTTATTTGCATTCCAGTGCAGAATAGAAAAGGAATTTCAGAACGTCTAAAATTGCCAGAAAAAAGGAATTGTCACCCTCCAATCAGCTCTATTAATAAAATCCACTTGGAACAATTATCAAGAATCTCTTGTGGTGGAAAACAGTCTCTGTAAAACATTAATATTCATTCGGAATGCTTAAGTAACATTTACACTTCTAATTTATTCACTTATCTATGTTCTTGTAATTTATTCACTTGCCTATATTCTTGTAATTTTATATATTATAGATTTAAAAATATTTATTTAGCATAATTTTAAGTATTGTCAGCATATTGGACAGGTATTCTTTTATAACATTTGGTGCAAGCTAAATACCACTATATAATAATATTTAAGTATCTCTGACTGCATGCTTCTTTCTCTTTGGTGCAATAGGGAAGGACATTACCTTAATAATCTGCTCCTACTCTAATAATTATCCTACCAAAGTACTTGTTGGTTTGTTTTTTGAGGGTACAACTTGTAGGCAGTGGTAAGACCTAGACCTGATTTTTCATCAGAGACATTCAAGAAGGGAAAGGAGTCCTGTAACAGAGCAGTCTGTCCCTTTAAGGGGGATTTGTCAGTTGAGGAATCTCAGTTATGGGGCATTTGGATAATGATAGTGTCCCACTGGGAGCTTAAAACCCTAGAAGAGAGAGCAGATGAGCAGCAAACTTTGAGGGAGCAGTTTGCAAGGGGGAGAAAGCAAATTCTGAATTGAACTGCTTGGTGTATGTAGGGGTCAGGTTACTGTAAGTTGGGGTCAGAGCAAAAGGGATTTCCCTCCCAATGTCCAGGACAGAATAGTAGGATTTTGTTTTGCTTGGTTTCTTTGTTTGTAAGAGGGGTGGAGGGCAACCTTTTTGGCAAGTATGCCCCAAATTGCAAACTGCACCCTCCCTGAGTGTCACTTTAATCTCTACTCTGCCCAATTTGCTGCTATGCTTTCTGTCCTTTGCCTTATGCTCCCTGCCCAATCTGTTGCTCTGCTTTTGCTTTGTTCTATCTGCAGCTGTCCTGCCTGTCCCCTTCTTGGTCTACTGCGTGCCACACAAAGGCTGCCCATGTAACCTGTGGCATGTGCGCCACAGGTTGGCCACCTCCAGTTTAAAAGTCTGTGTTTATGTTCCTCAGGGAGCAAAACCTACGTACAGAAACCAGTAGACAAGGAAATCTGCTTGCAAACCCTCAGCACAGCTTGACAATAAACAGTCTAACACTGTTGCTGAGTGCACCATTGGGTGACTCCCAATAACTCAGTAAACTCTGCTCTGGAGGGACCATTCTAGAGTTGAAAGGCATGATGAGTCTCCAGGGCTATTTGGTCTTTGCCTGCTGAGTACCCAAGGGTACTAGTTGTGAGCTTTTCGTGTGCTATGGCTATGTGCATACTGGGAACTGAACTCAGCTTTGCTTAACTTGCTTCTCATAGACCACTGAACAGGCATTAAATATTAACAGTTTTTGTATTGAGGCCATCAATGAACAGGTGACATAAAGCCTCCATATCCTATTAGTTTATTTTTAGGCGTTGAGTTACACAATTAAATTGTTTTCTTAATTACTTTGCTGGCTTCTTTTGCTGTTTGGCATGAAATTGAATATACATGCTATTTAAGGGAAGCATTTTAAGGTAGGTATTTTATCAGTTTTCTTATTAGATGCATCCTGTTGTAGTTAAAGAAAACTGGATAATTCAAAGGGCATTGTGCTTATATATCACATTTTCTCCACTTTTTTTGTTTTACAACCAAGGTTACTGGGATGAAAACAGTCTTTGTTTTTAAGTTCTCATCTGTTCCTATTTCATATTTCCTCTCTTGAAATTTCACTCTTTACCCTGTGACACAGTAATCATTTCCCTCCAAACATGACGTTTGCCAAACCATCACTGTTCATCGTGCTTGCTGCTAAATCTCTTCTCCCAGTATGCTTAATTGTTGTCTATTGACATTATAAACTCTTAGGGGCAAGGACTGTCTTACTGTACAGTGCTTAGCACAATGGGCCCTGAGCCAGATTTGGGGTGTTTGTGTGATAGTTATACAGCCAAATGCAATGGCAGTATGTAGATTATGATTTCAGTTGAGGAAGAGCCATGAAGGATTTACACGATCTTTAAAGCTTAAGTTTTGTTTATGTATACAATTCTAGTAAGAAATCTAGTGAGATAGGCAGTGGACAAGGATGTAACATGCCCTTCAACAGAATGGCTTTTTGATAGATTTTTCCTTGGAGTGTCAAGAGCTCTTTAAATTCTAGCACAAATTTAAGATATACATAAAGGATACATTTTTGGTGCATCTACATCAATAGCTTAGGAAGTATCTTTTGACTGGATGTCAGGATTTGTTTTCCCTGGAAGAGTTCCCTTGATTCAGAACCAAGGATACACCCAGGAGGGAATCCACCTCTTCCCTCTCCTCCAGGGTGCTGAGAGGCACTGTCACCTCTTTTAGTTTGATGGACTTCCATAGCTACTTCAGAAAGGTACATAACTACTAACATCAAAGTCCATCAATTGCAAAACCTCACATGAATGATGATGGCCTTTTGCTGAAGCACAGATGGGGAAGAATTGTACTTCATTGTGGATGGCTAAAGAGCAGCTAGAGCCTTAATCTGAGTTAACCCAACTAAAGTGTACGAGTGATTCTATTACCTCTTCTGGACACACAAATTCTACCATTAGAGGAAAAGTAGCATGCTTTGAGACACGCAGCTGTCTCCATATTCCTATAATATAGGGGCAGCTATGTTCCAGTAGTGGGTAATAGAATCACTCCTACACTTTAGCTGGGTAACTTAGTTAGTCTCAGCCTACACTTTGGTTGTCCACAAAGTGAAATAGGTTTCTGCCCTTAGCAAAACCAGAGCTTGCTCTGCATTATACAAACTTGATATGTGTCACATGTGATAACTGCCTGAATCATTTAAAAATCCATACAAAAAGATTGAAAAATCACATTCAACCCAATCTAAAAATGAAGGCAAGACATTTGTTGTTAGTTTATAATTGTTAACCTCAGGACTCTGAACCAAAGATATTTTGGGGTTACAAAACCTGCCACAGTAGTATAGAAGGATGAACAAAAACTCCTCCCTGCTCTGATAGGATTTCTGCCATTTCCAGGACAGGAGGAACCATATTTGATTGGTTCTGTTCAGGAGTGCTCTCTTCTGAGTCTACTGGCTACATTTGCCTGGTGTCTGCACTCATTTGCTTTCCACTGCTATATTTTTTAGGCTAGAAGAGACTACACAGATCTCAAACTACTGAAACAGTGGACTCAGAACACAGAATTACAGCCCAAGGTTTCCTCAGCTCAATTAAGAGACATGTTTTAATTCTTCAGTCTAATTCTCAATTCTAAGAGGCGTGTTTTAATCATTCTTCTAGACAGTCGTCCTGTCCTATGAAAAAGGAAGCAGTCTTTCTTTCTTTTTTTGGTAGGGGGTTGTGGGAGCTTGGAGTATGTAACCTCTGGGGGTAAAAATGTTTTGCTTGATTTAGGTTACCCTTTGGTGTTTTTTGGTGGCATCTAGATTCTCTAGATGGCTTGGGATATTTCTGTCTTCTTATTGGTAATTATAACACACAGATAATTACATCCAGGTCCAATTCAGTTCCTTGTTTTTAATAGCAGCTACTTTGGCCGAGTGCATTAGCCAGCAGATGGTTTTATTTATTTCTAATTTCATGAGCCAGCCAGTCAGCAGTTGTGTTGTATTTCTTTCAGAGTGATATCTGCATTCAATTAACCATACTGCTGCCAGGCGTAATAGCTTTGCTTTGAAAAGCAACTCTTCCCCTTTTCTAAACCATCCAAATAAACAAAGAAATAGTTTACTTTCAACTACTGTCAGGCATTCAAAATGCAGACTGTTCTGTTCCAGAGTAACAGTAGTGGTTTACCCCTGTGCCACTGAAAGAGCCTTTGCCATCTATTTGCTATAAATAAACACAGTCTTTGCAGGACATGTAATTCTTTCATGCAAAACAGAAAGCTGTAAGTATATTTAGTATAGTCCCATTGTGTACCATGGTAAATTAGACCCACTCTAGAGTAAGCTTTCTATTGTAGCATATGAGTCTGACATTGGTAGAAGAGGCTATAATAGGCATTTTCAGGAAAAATGGCAGAATTCAACTTATTACATTTTCCAAAATGGGATGCATAAGGTGACTTGTAAATTTTCAAATTGGAGGTTGGGCAAGCAGTCTAATGGGGACCCCCTTAAATGAATGATGGACCCTTGTTTAAGAAATATAAAAACAATGACTAGTCTATAACAGTTTTTTTAGCCTTTTTTGAACTTGAGGGACTTGTCCATATCTGTTGTGAATTGAGTGGAATCCAATTTCAAAAACTATACATTACAGTACTTACTTCCTTGCAAAGGGGTTAGGCAATGGGAGTGGTTATCATCTAGGCTGGGACAAACCTGCGCTTAGGGCACAGTTTATACTTTTAAACAAAAAAGACCACAAGAAAGGAAATATCACAAGATACAGTCTTAGAATTCTAGCAATGTATAATTTAGATTTCTGAATAAATTTCACCCAATTATAGTGTTTTCACCTAATTATACTAGCAACGTTTCCATTGGCTTCACTGGGGTTAAGATTACTGTATATTGCCAATAGTAACAATATTGTGATTTGCACAGCTAGTGTGGTTGACATTGTTAGGGGGAATGGAGAGAGAAATTTGTTTTTTTTTTTTTTTTTTTTTTTAATTTT